ACTTTTCCTTCTTCTTCTTCCTTTTGTCCTATTCTTCCACTTTATGTCTCATGTTTAATCATAATCCATCTCTTTTTCTGCTTTGCGGCTTGTTTCTTCGCGTTTTGCATATCACATTCCGTGGGAGATATATGGGATTGGTTGAGAAATGTGAAAACATTCCGGAGGTTTTGACCGACTTTTTTGGGGTTTGAAAAAGCTCGATTTTTTCAAAATAGAAAGCTCGTAAATCTAGAAAATTTGAGTTTCAAACATAAATTTGAACACCTGGTTACAGCTTTTTTTTGAATAAATCTAGTGGTTTCAGATAACTCGAAATATTTGAAAAGTGAGATTATTTATTTTTAAAACCGATATTACCATTCTTTTATGCTTAACTTGGGCAGTTTCTTACTTCAGCCGTTTGCTTGCGAGTTCCCTCTAATAGGAGCTCACCCGAACCGTTTACTTTGAGCTCAGCTATCTCGATTCCTATAAAAGATATCGAAACTTTTTCAACTGATAAAACATTGCTGATATTATGATGAATATTATATCACTTGAAATTTTTTAGATATCTTTCACAGGAATCGAGATAACTGACTATGAAGTCTAAGTTGACGGTTTGGGGGGCTTTCAGAGGTTCTACGGTAACGTGTACAGCTTTTCACTTCATTCGTTTGCTCGCAATTTAAATAGTTCTGAAAACAATCCAGTTGAAGGTCCTCATCATTGAGGTATTCATGCTCATGCTACTCCCTATAAGATATTTTGTCATGTCCCTTATCATCCCAGAATATCCCCGACTGATCCGGATCATGCTTCTTCTCTTACTCTCTCTTCTCTCATCACACACACACACTCTCTCTTTCCAACCGGAATCATGATAAATAATTAATCAAAGAAAAACAAAGAAAACGGTACCAAACGGCCATCTCTCACTCTTGTGTACCTTTCCCCTCCCGTCACCTTTTCCGTTTATTCAAAGTCAAAAGTGACGATTGATTAGCTATCCCAACCTGCTCCGATCACATTCTCGGCCTCTTCTTTTTCTTTTTCCAAAGGTATCCATGGAGATTGGGGATGTGCTTGCCCGCCCATTGGGAACTTTTAATGCTGCTGCGTCTCCTATGTTCCCGCCCGAGACCTTTTCTACTTCTCTTTTTCTCCATCCTTCCTTCCCGTCGTCATCATGTTTTTTATGGTTGTTGGTTTTGAATTCACTCTCAATCTCTCGCCATTCTCTCGTTTTTCCCTTCTACGTCGTCGATTTATATTGTGAGAGAATTTGCGTAGACAGGGGTTGCACGGGAACAGATTGATTTATGTATTTCACAACTCAATCATATTTTACCGCCTGCTCCATTCTACTACCAAATTTCCTTATCTAAAAAGACTCCCCATAAGTGTTGACTATTTGTAGTAAGACCCATGTAATACATACGGATTGCCGGCACTTTCCTCTTTTACCAATGTTTGTCAGTTTGCCCCTCCTCTCTCGGCTCTTTTTCCAAAATATACATGTGATAAGAATAGGTGTTAGGACGCCTGCGTCTCCTTTTAACTATCTTCCAGTACAAACAGTGACACACACGATCAACGGCTTTTTGACTCTTTTGTCAGTTTTTAGCAGTTTTGTCACCAAGATTACGAATATTCTCTATTGATTTCTTGAACTCTTTTTTCAAGGTTTTCTATTTCAGTAGCTTGTTTTCTAGACCTAGTATTTTTCATATTGAAGTGTTATTTTCCCAATTTTTAAAGTTGAATTTGACAAATGTGTGTATTTGGTGTAAAGTTACTATTTTTCAATCGGTTGCCAATGTTTGATCATAAACACAGTTGTTTATGTTGATGGCAGCTACCGTACACACTGAAAAAGAAGCCCACCCAAACCGTCAGCTTTGAGCTCAATTATCTCAATTCCTATAAAAGATATCAACAACTTTTCAACTGATTTATTATTTAGCATAATATCACCAATGTTTTATTAGTTAATCTAAATTTGATATTTTTTGAACGAATAGAGACAATTGAGGTCAAAGTTGACGTTTTGGGTGGGCCTTTTGTAATTTTTGTATCATTTTTTAGAACTCTTTGATTATCTTCAAACTCAAAATGTGTATTTTTTGAATTTTTTCCAGCCTTCATATTCAGCTTTAATAGAATATTTAAACAAGGATACCTAACCGTAAAATCTGTAATAGAAAGACTCCTCACTTTCAACTTTCAGCTCAATTATGTCGATTCCTGTGAAAGACGCGAAAAAATGATCAACTGACAAAAAATTCTTGATATATTGATGAACATTTTTTCAGTTGACTACCTTTTGATACCTTTCACAGGAATCGAGATAGATGAGCTTAATGTCGACGGACTGGAATAATTTTACTCAATCAAAAACTTTCTCCGTCTAGATCTCTTCAATCTTTCGTTCTCTTTTCCACTTTTTTCCTCCCATCCCATCATTTCATCTCTCTTGTTACTTTTTCATCACAGTTTCACACCTCTTTTCTCAGTTTCGCGCGAAACCTTCTTCGACTCTCTCCACACCTTCATAAATCTTCGTTCTTCTTCTTTTTCTACCTCTGCCTCTTCTTCTTATTCTTCATTCTAAATACCAACACACACATGTCCGAAACTATCTCAAATTCAGATCTCGATGCCAGTCTGACATCGGCATCTTCTTCTCCCTCATCCACCACCACCACCGCCCTTTTCAATTCCTTATCCTCAGATTTTCGAAAAACCACACCCAAAAGCTACCGTAACAGTGGTTGCGATTGCTGGGTGCCATCCTCCTCTCATTTCAAACAAATTCAACACGACGAAAACGACGACGAAATCGAATCGGCTGAAATAAGAATGAAAAATGAAACGACTTCCTATGTGAGTTTTGCTCCATTTCTCAACAGTTGTTCATTTGTAAAAATCCCATTAATTTAAAGAAAAGCGATGAGAAAACATCCAATGTGGTGTGCTCTCTCACTAGGGCTCTCTGTGTTATTTATGAGGTGAACTTTTGGATGGAAAGTGATGGGGTTGGTTTGGATTACGTCGGTACTTGTGGACCCGGGAAGAAAAAATCGGAGAAAGCTTGAAAACTGATGAGTACCCTATAAGAAGAGACGCCCACCCAATTTTGAGCTCAATTGTTTCGATTCTTGTAAAATATATCAAAAATGTGTCAACCGATTAAAAGTTGATGATATTATGATAAACAATTTGTTAGTTGGCAACAGTTTGATATCTTGTGAAAGAACCGAGATAATTGATCTTAAATTTGACACTTTGGGTGGTTTCTAATAGAGGAAATACAGTTATTTTGTACGTCAATGGAACCCAAAAATGTAAAATGCTAAAAGTTAAATTTGGCAAAAAGTTGTTAGCCTTTTTCAAAACTAATTTCGAGAATCCCTCCGTTATATGCATCTCAACTTTCTCAACGTTCTCCTCATCCTAATATTAATTACTCTAGGTGTCCTTTTAATCCTCATTTTCTTCTTCTTCATCCATGCCCAAGGTCAATTTTTATTGCAACACTATGTTAACTGCCACGTGTCCTTCGTCGCCATCTTCCGAAATGCCATTATCCATCATCTCCTTAATCGCCATGTCCTCTTCTTCTCCTTAAATGCCCCGTTCCTAGAATTTCTTACCCGACAAAAGACATACCCCCGTTAAATTGATGAGGAGGATTGTCGGATGACGACTTCTTCATAAAAAACTGAACCAGGTCATTCGGAATGACCGGAGTGTTTATAACCTGTTGATTGTTCCCTCCTCGTTCCTCAATTTATTTCGACCGAGAACCAATAAGAAAAGAAACCTGCTAATTTTTGTCCGTTCTCTGTTCGGGTCATCATCTTCATAGCTTTTAAAATAGTTTGACCGGCAGAGACACTTTCGCCAAAGGTGTTAGGAATTGAAAAAAGAGATGATTGCGTCGCTTTCGTTTTATATGGAAAAGGTGATATCGCGCAGAGATATCAAATCGGGCTGAATGGGAACTATGCTAACTATACGAGAGATGAAAGAGAGTAGGATTCTATCAAAATTTGCATTACAATTGGAAAAACACTTTGGAGAAGGTCAAATGGTTTATAGGGACTGGGAAAGGGTACTGTAACACACCTTAGAAGTTACTGTATTCATTGGGGAGTTAATTTGTCTAAAATAATGATTTGTGAAGCTATGAGCTTAAAAAAGACAAACGTACACCATTTTCACAGAAGCCAATAAATCCGTAAACACTATAATAGAATGGCTCCCTATACTTGCCCTTTGAGCATATACATCTCAGTTCTTGTAACAGATCAAAAAATCGTCAGCTAACAAAATGTTTATCATAATACTGCCAATATTTCATCAGTTGACTAGTTCTTTATACGTTTAACAGAAATCGAGATAATTGTGTTTCTGTATATTTCCTGAAACTGTAAGCTCAAAACCAGAAAAAACCCTTAATTTCAAAAATGCCAAAATATTATTTTTTTTCTTGTCCAAAACCTAAACTGTGCAATTATAGTTCTTTTTTTTAAATTCCCTTTGAAAAACACCAGACACCAGAAACTTCTCCAAAGAATCAGACAAATGCAAATCATGAGTCACACTGTAAAATACGTCTTTTGAAATCACATAAAAAGTACAAAAAACTCCTTCCTTCCGCAGAAAAATCAAATTAAAGAAGGGCAATTACACGATAGGGGTGTGCCCCCTTTCATCCTGGTGTCCTTCAGAAGACGTCGTTCCCACGCAAGAAGGAGGAAACGAACTGATTTGCATACATACTTCCATGTTTGGGGATGGCATATTCGTATACGGTCCCCATTGTAATTAGTATTTACAATGAGGAGTGGATGAGAAGAGGAAGGGAACTAGTTGCTAGATTCATTGGGTTGGTGGAAGATGTTTTTTACTCGAAGCGGAGCAATACATGGAGAAATCGGAACCTAAAAATGTATCTTATAATTGTTCTCTCAATTTATACGTTGTTCGAAAATTCAAAGAATGTATTCCAGATGGCACACATCTGGTTTGATTCCGAGTTCCATGAAGTGTGAAGTGCAAAAAATTAGAGAACAGATTCAGTTTTTTATATACATGAAACTCTGAACATTAAGTCGAGCATCTAGAGGGAAGGAATTTCTGAAAATAGCAAAAAATGAAAGCCGAGTGATCCTAAAATCTGTAATGGGAGGGCCCTTAACTTTGAGCCAATTTATCCAGGTTCATATGAGATATAAAAAAGTTGTCAACTGAAAAATTGTTTAACATAATGTCACGAACATTTTATCAGTTGACACATTTTTGATATCTTTCATAGGAGCCAAGAAAAATTAGCTCAAACTTCATAGTGTGGGGGCCCTCCTATTATTAGAACAGTTTACGATTTTTATACATGAAACTCTGACCATCCAGTCAAAAACTAAAAGGATGTAGGAGGAAAGAAGAAATTTCTGAAAATCTCAAAAATGAAAATTTTCAGGCCCGACTAAAAAACGTTGTCGGTCGGAGTGGAGTCACAGTAAACGGAATCGCTCTTCATCATGCATCTGATACACTCCTCCAAGTCGCAGGAAGCTCAATCATCGTTAGCTCAGCAGCCGGACATGATAAATTCGAAGGACATCTCATCTCACAAACGAAACAACAGTTCACATGTGTAGCAGTGACAGCATGCGGTAGATATGCGGCTACTGGAGAGGTTCGTGGTTTTTGATTTTAGAATATTTGAGGGTAGTTTTTGAAATAGACTTCTCAATCTGGTGAAAACTTGAAGTGACAGGATAATAGCACTACTTCAACTCAAAAGGAGCAAGCATTAGAGAATAACGATACTTCTTTTGATGTTTCCAGACCGGACACCAACCAGCAGTACGACTCTGGCAACTCCGAGACGATCAAGGGAACTTTGTGGGTCGGCTGGTCCGATCCATGCAAGCTCATACAGTATCCATCACAATAGTTCGATTCACTCCGGATGATAGCACACTCATATCCATTGGATGTCAACACGATGCTCAGATAATCACATGGGATTGGAGGAATGGACATGACCTTGGAATCGGAAAGCTTATGTCTCCAGTAAACGCTTTAACTATTTCATTTGACAGTAGCATGTGTGTGACTGTTGGCAGCAAATCTGTCAAGTATTGGTTTTTACCTCTGGCTTCAGATGGACTCAACAAACGAACAGGATTGACGGTAGATTTTAAGGAAAATTATTTTTTGAAAAATCGTATTTTCAGAGTCGATCAGCTATTTTGGCTGACAAGAGAAACGTTAATTTTGTGGATGCGTCGTTTTGTGACGCAACGAATCGAATGGTGGCGGTGACGTCGAGTGGAGAGCTTCTGGAGTTCAATGGGAATAAGAAGGTTTGGAGCAAAATTATATTTCTGGTTTCCGTCTTCTTCATTCAAATATTTTTCAGTATGTCAAGTGTTACTCATGGAAAGAAAGTGGAGATTTCAAAGCAATTTGCATTGCGAAAATCCCAGAAGGACTGCTTGTCGGATGCTCGGATGGACTAGTTCGATTATTCTGTTTGATTGGAGAAGACCTAGATTTCTTGGCTGATCTTGCACCACCAACTCATCTTTTCCAAGATCCGTCAAACGTCTACGAAACTCAACAGTTGCAGAATCATCCAGAAGATGCTATGTGAGTTTTAAAAATTTGGAATAAAGTTTCGAAAATTGCTTACTCTTAAGATTTCCTGAACCTCGGTGTCTTGTTGCCTCATCTTCCAGTCCAACATTTGTAGTTGGCTACGCTGATCGATCGCTGATCGAGTTTGCCCGGGAGAACAAGTCATGGTCTTTCCGAAGAGCGAGTTTGGGACATACTGGATCTGTAAATTGCATAGAACCATTCCCATCTTCTTCGCCCTGTTTACCAGCTGGAACTCTTATTACCGGAGGATCAGATGGAACCATTCGATTCTGGAATTTCGGCGCCGAGAGTGAAGACAAAAAAGAAATAGCGAATATTCTTTGCCCTTCTCTACTGAAAGTGGTGTATTTGGACGAGAATCCAGACTTACTACTCGACAAAAGAAATTGTGGGTTGCTTACATAATTTTTAGAATTCTCAAAAAACTACGAATTTCAGTGGAATCTGTCGGACCATCTAACGAAGACCATCAGACAGCATCACCTTCTGGAGTTCTCTGTACACGTGTAACTCATGATGGAAGAATGATGATCGCTGGAACAGCAACTGGAATGCTATATCTAATTGATCTTTTCTTCTCGGACACTCCGATAATCGATGTCATAAATGCTCATGATAACGATGTGACATCCATTGATTTCTCTGATCATGCGACTACATCTTCTCATGATCAACCAATGTTTTTGTCATCTGGTGGAAGAGATCGATTCGTTCATGTTTTTCGAAGGGTACCGTATAGTTCGCAATTCGTACATTGTGCAGTTTTGGATGGTCATCAAGCAGCAATCAAGTCCATTAAATTTGCATCGGTGAGAAAAATTTGAAATTATAATTCCTATAGGAACGGGAGAATGAAAGGAAGAATGAAATCGTAGATCCGGAAATCGATAAGCGCCAACTGAATTTTTATGATGCTAGAGAGCTTTCGTTTTTATGAATCATTAAGTTCGGCTTGCTGGATGTTTTGAAGAACTAACTTCGAAATAAAAAAAAAGTTATGTACCAAGGAAAAGTTTTTTTTCAGAACAATGGTCAACTCCATCTCTACACAGCCGCCACAGATCGGAGTCTGATAATCTGGAAGCTGAATTCATTCAGTGATCAACATTCGGAGTTCACAAGAGTTCAGCAGTTATCAGTCACATCAAGTATAGGAGATATGACATTTATCAAATACGTTGATATGTTTGTGGTCGGAGGGCATGATCGAATGCTCCGACAAATTGATATCAATGGTAAACCTGTTCGAGAAGTCAAGGGAACTGATGATGACGTTGCACATAGTGGAAAGATCCATAAAATTGCCATTGATCATTCTGGATCCTATGCGATTTCTGTCTGTTCCGATAAATATGTGTATGTTGTGGATCTTCGAACTGGAGGTTGTCTAGCAGTTCTATGTGGATTCGGAGCTCCTCCAACAGATGCCACGTTTACTGATGACTTCAAAAATGTAGTTGTGACAACTTCAAATGGAGCTATATTCGTTTGGCAACTGGCAAAGAATCTAACGGAACGAATGATATCTGCACAAGTTCGATTGATGGAAGAAGTAACCATGAGGTAAATTGGGCCATCGATTCCCTCCTCCATTTTAATGACCGACACACAAAAAGATTTATATCGGTTTTTCGAGAAAAATAGATTCCAATCTTTTCTTTTCCACTTCCACTTTCGATCGCTTCTCGTGTCGCCTCTCGATGCGTTTTTCATAACAATAATAATTGGGAATCTCTTCTTCTTCTTCTTCTTTTTCGCCCAAAAACTAATAAATCAATTGTTCCCATTGTTTCTATATTTCTAGAACTTCAACACCTGACAGTCTTCTCGGAAGTGGAAGCGAAACTATAAGCGGCGACTCAAGTTCGTTTGCCAGACCACTTGGTGCTCCAGAGTTTTCTGGAAGTTCAGCATCACTGTATTCTGACGACGACGATTCAACCAGATTCTCTTCTTCGGGTAAGTTTAAAAGTTTGTTTTTCAAAATGTGTCGTACTGATTAAATGTAGGTCATTCTGTAGATCAAGACAAAATTGGCGTCGTAACTACCATATTTACTCTAACAGAAACCCAACTTTATACGTGCGTTTCGAGCTCAATTATTTCGATTCCTGGGAAAGATATCAAAAATATGTCAACTGATGAGTTATTTATCATAATATCAGTAAATTTTATCAGTAGACAAATGTTTGATATCTCTCACAGAAATCGAGATAGTTGAGCTCAAAGTCGGTGATAGGCTATGGGCTTATGTTAGAGTAAATACGGTATTTAGTTCTCTCAAAGAATTTATTCCCAATTTAAAATCTCCCAAAAATATTTTCATGAATCTAATTGGCACCCACAAAAAACAGAAAAAATTCAAATACAATCAGTTTATTTGAAATGAGCAGTTGTTCTCAGTTCCTCCCTATTTCTTTTTATGTCTATTGCACAGTTCAATGATTGCATTGATTCCGAGATCGTAAATTTCAAACGAGTCGAAAGTATTACTTCTCATCAATCTGATATGTTTGATTGTGTCTGTATGCTTGACACGCCCATTCTTGGCCAAACGATCGGATTCCGTGTCGATGAATGCCACGACCCCACTTCTGAAAATGATAATTAAAAATGTTTTGTTGACATGAATAATGCTCCAACTTGGTTGCTCCATCCTTGCATACAATAACTAGAGGTCCTTTGAGGGGACATCCCAGATACTTGCGTGCCTTCTCCAACATTTCAACGAGATCTTGAGCAGACATTTGATCGGCACGATTGAACTTCACTGCCTTCAGATTGAGTCCATGATCCTTGATGACAGTACTCGAGACATCGTCACTTGTCTTTTCACCCCCTTTCTTTCCGGCTCCCTTTTCGAACTTTGTAGAAATGTGACTGAAAGTTTATAGATTAGAACATGCTCTTTTCTATTTTTTAGGTTACGTTGAGAATTCCTCAGCAGTCTCTGCAATAATCAATCCTTCCGCTTTGACGTGATGCAAGATCTTGAAAAAGTCCTTGGCGGCATCAGCATCTTTTGGAGCTTGTGCAAGAATGTATTGGTCTGAAAGCTAGTTTTAAAACTTTCATCTAATTATGGCTCACTTGGCTTGAAACCATCCACCCAGGAAGCGTGATAATATTCAACTTCTGGTACGATGACACGAGTTGAATCGTACAACCAGACAGATTCCGAGAAATTCTTCTCTTTCGGCGCCTTGAAATAGGTGAGGAATGTGGGCGACTCTAAGTAGCATTCCTTGTACAATTCGGCGATTCCAGCTTCGAAACTTTTGTTTGTGGTCTTACCGAGAATCTGGAAAGTAAAATATTAGAATCTAAATTTCCGAAAATCAGATCCTCACATGATCGCAAAACTTCTTCGGTGAAAGCATTGTAGTCTTCTTTTTACGAGTGGAACGAGTCAAAATACGATTGTTGTTGCCTGGTCCGAGGAGGCACGCACGGCCATTTGTTTGCATCGTGTCTGCCATTTTCTGGAAATTTCACAGATTTTGAATTTCTAAAATGTGAGCTGAACACACCTGTTACCGATGACAGATTCCCGATTGCTCACACTACGCAAGGGTACTTCTAGATATAACTGATTGTTGCTTTGATTGTACTGTAAAGATTTGGAGAGAGTTGGCACCATAGTATGAGCTAATTAATTGTTCGTGTGAATCATTGAGAATTTAACGTGAAATTATGATAGGATTACTGTAGAATTTTGAAAAGTTTGGCCTATTTTTTTGAATATACAGAACCTGTCAATAGTTTGGAGCTCGGCTGTAAAGGTCAACCGTCTAAAGCTTGGTTGTCATGTTTGGGATCACTTTGAAAATTTTGGAGGATGTAACACAGACTTAGATTGGAAACTTTGTATTCACAGGTTTTTTTTGAAAATTCCTAATTTTTCAGCTATTCGGCTTTTTTTCTGAAATACGGCCTTTTCGGCCCGTTTTTAACTGTAAATGTGAAAAACAAGTGCTTTCTGAAATCAACGAATATCTGAAAAACTAGAAACTTTCAAAAAATTCCAATTCTCCAATCTAGATCTTATTTACACCCTCCAAAGTTTTCAAACTGATCTGACACTGGACAGCCGAGCTACAAACTCCTGACAGTGGTCAAAATCGCCGGAAATCAATTGAGAAAATAGTCTTTTACATTATATTATACGATACTGTATTTCCTGAATTAACCAATAACCATGCATTTTTCAGTCCGAAGCAGTCGATCGAAACAAATCCTTCCAAACGGCGGACATCTGATTGGAAATTCGAGTTACGCACGTGTTGGAGATAGGTGCGTTTCTTATTTCTTTTTTGTTTCATTTTTTATACATTCCTTCCGTTCCTTCTCACTTTTTACACTCAAAATATTCATCTTTTTCTCCCCTTCTTCTACACCTGGTGTTTATATGTACAATGTGCCAACAAAAACGTATTTACGCCGTTTTGAAAATATCATAAAACGGTTGTATTGTTGTTGAAAGTGACACTGTTACGGAAGAAGTAGTGGGTGGGAGTATTTTCTTCTCGTTACTCGTAGATTCCCAAATACTTTTCCACTCGAAACTCTTTGGCGGATTTGAGCGCATTTAATCGAGAAGTTGACATTGAGAGGAAGAGGCAAATCCGATTAGATATAAAAGTGATTCGTCTCTCATCCCACACACTTCACACACTGGTTCTCAACCAATACAGTATACTTATCGTTCAAGTTTTCGATTTTTCTTTGGAGAAACACCCCCGCTAGTTTTATTTCTCTGTATTGGGGTATCTAACACGCTATCCGTACACTTTGAGCTCAATTTTCTCGCCTCCTGTGAAAGATATGAAAAAGTTATCAACTAATAAAATGTTTGTCATAGTCTAATCAATGTTTTATCAGTTGACACATTTTTGATAGCTCTCGTAGGAACCGAGATAATTTAGCTCAAAGTGAACGTATACGGTGGGATGTGAGCATTCACCAACTCAATTTTCTAGTTTTTTACCCAAAAATCAAATTTTAAGCTTGAAAAAAATTGTAGAACCCGAGAGGGTTCGAACTTTTCCCATTTCAGCACCCCCTCCCTTAAGGCTTAACTCTTTGTCGTGGGGCGCGGCGTTCACATGTCGCAACTGGGTAGGTACATAACTGAATTTAGACCAACAAAAAGAACAGTTCGAATCCGGAAAGTCAGTCGAAATTGTAATATCTTTTTTTTCATTTTTCTTTCTTCCTAAAAACTTTTTAAAGTCATAAAGTCGTATGATTTTTGAAAAGCGGCTGCGTTGGGGCTAGACTATGAATAATTGAATAGCACACTTTTGATGGATAGCCATAAAACCTAAAGTGGAACTTCTAGAAGTTTTTATTGTTCTATGGACCTTCAAAACAGAAGCAGAATATCGCTTTGGAAAAGGAAATGACGATGAGATTTGGAAATGCTCCGTAGGTCTGGCTCATTTTAGTCCTTTTGAGCTAATTCTACCTGACTAATACCCTATAACTTTTTCGGGTTTTCCCCCTATTCCAAAAAAAATTGATGCGATTTCGTACTCATTGTGTGGCAGCCTCATAAAATTTCGAAAGAATAAAAATTCACACATACACATTCGTTCTCAATAGCCACTTCTCTGACCACAGATACTCACTATCGAATCTGATTATTGATGGTATTAGTTGTATAATCCATCGATGACCTCCTCTCTCTTCAAAATCCATGTTTCAGTGACCACTTCTACTAGTCACTGTGTAGTCACTTTACTACTGTATCTACTTTTTTTTTCTCTCGCTCAATAGCGTTTGATAGGTAGAACGTTTACCGTTATTTATGCAAATTAACACTTTGGTTGGATGAGAGAGTGTGGCAATCAGAGAGACGACAGAGAAGTTGATCTATTTGCCTAAATGCTCGAGAGACGGACTTCTTGCCGCTTTTTCCTCCTTTCCGGCCGATGGTTTTGTTTTTGCTCTTATCGGTCTCAGCGCAGTGCCATCATAAACTCTATGGGTTTGGTTCTTCTTTTTTCTGTCTGGTTTCCAATTTTTTCGAAGCTGTCAAATTTTTTGCCGCAGCAAACTTTGTAATTTTTTATAATCGCTTCAAAATTAGAAAAATGACTCAAACCCCCATTTTCCCACTCTAAAAATCACATTTTTGACACCGTAATTAGCCTGATTACCCTATAAATGTCCCAGACAATGCGAAAATGTTTAAAAATTGGTCGAGTCACTAGAAATACCTTAAAATTAGTGTACTTACCCTCTAATTGGAGCCCTAGAAAGTTCGAAATTTTCCCCAAAAATGTGCCGAAATTTTTAGAAAAATAGTCTAAAACTCATGAAAATAGTATCAAGTCAATGAAAATTACCCAAACATCCATTTATCCTTTTAAAAATTACATTTTCTACCGGTGGTTACCCTAATTTCCCTCTAAATGCCTGTCCCAGAAAATTTTACATTTTGGACGAAAATGGTTCTAAAAGAAGACCACCCTTACCGTCAACGTTGAGCTTGTATATCTCATTATCTGTGAAAGACATCAAGAAGTGGTCAACTGAAAAAATGTTTTTGAAATTATAATGAAAATTTTGTCAGTTGACTAGTTTTTTTATTGCTTTCGCAGGAACCGAGATAAATAGGCTCAAAGTTAGAAATTAGGAGTGCCTATGTCACAGGTTTTACGGTATAAAAACTGTAATATTTTGACCCTTTTGTCCCTTCTAAAAACTACTTTTTCCCTATCCATATAACATCAAAAGGTTATTGTATCAAATCAGTGCCAGTTACCATCAAAACAAATGCTCCAAGTATGTTTGTACATGTCATCGTTCTCTCTTTTTTATATGTACCAGCCGTTACAGAGGCCGACTGGCCGGCTGGTGTTCCATTTCGATTCTATTTACACTTCCCGTTTTTGGCTCTCTCTTCCTTCTTTTCCTTTCCAATTTCTACTCATTTTGTCTATATGTCCTCTCGTGTGATCTCATCCCTCTTTCATGGAGTGCACACCTTTTCATCGATTCGCCTTCTTTTTTCTTTTGTAACCGAAACTTTTTCTGAAGATGAAGAAGAAATTCGAAGACGATTCGGATTTCGTACAGTTTCCTTTATTCCATTCATTCTCTTTCTTTTAACTACTAACTGTTCGTGTTCAACGAACCGAAAGAATGAAGGAGGGATGACTAAATGCATGTAGTTGTATATACTAAGTGGATCACAGTATACCTTTTTGAATTTTAGAGAATCAGTTGATTTGGTTCAAATTGTTAACCTACTCTTTTCAAATTACCGTAAAACCTGCAATAGAAGGGTTCTTCAACTTTTAACTTCGAGTCGATTTATCTTCTATGAAAGATATAAAAAAGTATTCAACTGATAAATCGTTTATCATAATATCACAAAGATTTTATCAGTTGACACATTTTTGATATCTTGCATAGAAATCGAGATAATTGAGCTCAAAGTTGATGGTTTGGGTGGGCTTCTATTAAGGCAACGTTGGCTCGTTGACTTTTCAATACAAGAATGTTCTTATTCTCCTAGATTCTATTCTCCTAGCTTTTTTCCCTTCTTATTTAATTTCAATTCGTTTCACTTGACTTCAATTTCAATCAGTGCCAACAGATAGACTGCAAAAAAAGAGTGAAGCTTGAACACTGAGAACCAGTCACTTTGCCCAGAAACTAATCACTTTCGGCGGAACTGATTCCGTCGAACTTTTCTTGATTTCCCACGCGGTAGTGCGGCCGAACGGTTGGCGGTGGGCTTTGTTTTCCTTTTTGCATTCCCTTTTCCCGCTGTTTCTCCTCCGCCTGTCATCATGAAAACGGAGGACCTCATCTGTACTCTATACGATATCATTTCAATTGTTTGTTTCTTTTATAATATTCCGTCAATTCCGGAGAAGGTCAATTGATAAACCGAATTTTAATACACATTCCCATCCTACGCATTTTTCGACTTTTCGTAGTTTCGTTCTTCTTTTTCTTTTTTTTGTCGAATTCCTCTTCCTGACACGTTAACAACACACATTCATTAATCATGAACATTTGAACCTGAACACAGCTGTTATCAGTTATCCGGAAAGAAGACAAGCAGCTCTCAGAGGTCATGTTTGATCAGTGATAATGTGACGTTTTATTATCAGAGAGCACTGATAGGGGGGAAGATGGTCCTAAAAAGGAGAGGATGGCATAAGTATGGTTGTTATTGATCAGGAAACGCTTTTCAAAGTTTTTTCGGATTAAAAAGTTGATCTGAAAATGACAGTATTGTTTTGTATGACACAATTTGAAAGACATCAAAAAACCAACGACAGAACTTTCACAGAATCATTGTTTCTGCTCAAATTTTTTGAATTTGGCACCATTTTGAATGTTTTTACAGAAAATATGAAGGCGTTTTATCCTAATCCTAAGCCTGTAAAAAAGTGAAATTTTCTCTTTAAAAATTTAAAAATTTCGCTGATATTTGGGAATTTCAGCACTTTTAAATTGTATTTTTGTCGGAATATTTTGCGTTTTGTTAAAATTTATAGGCTTAGGCTAAAACACTGTTTTTTTCCGGCGTTTCAGCCAAGGCCTATATATTTAAGCAATAAAACGAAACACTCCAGAAATATTTTCAGTAAAAAAGTGAGATTTTCGCTGATTCTCGCGATTTTTTTTTCCAACAGAGCGACCAAAAGCCCAAAATAGATTCATATTTTAGGTTCATTTTTCTCCATTTATAGTTTCGATTTTTGATTCTCTGTAAATGGAAAATTTCTGAAAGTCTCTTTCTCCTTCTCTTCCTATTTATTTTCCCACATTTGCATCAATCGAATCGTTTTCCTTCCCCTATTCTTCCATTTCCTTTTTCTATTCGATTTCAAATTTCACTACCATTTTCTGCTACGTCACACTCTTCTGCTAAGCACCCAACAACTGGAACAGTTCTTCTCGCCTCTTCGCTTTAGTTTGCACAACTGATTTGTCAACTCGAATTTCCATTCATTCCCATCAAACTGATTCTGACCTTTTCTTCTTTCTCCGCGTTTAAGGAATGCAAATCTGCATAATTGCTAGGTGGACGGGATGACCGTCTTCTTCAAATGGTTTCGACATTCTTCTTCTTCTTCTTCCGATTGAATTTCAGAAGAACGTAAACAATATAAAATATCCGAATTCTCCGAGAGATATAACATGACATAGTGTTGTCCACTTTATCATAATCTTCGCCTCATTCTTATCATTTCTCTCTTCCAAATCATCAGCTGTTTCCATGCATAATATCTCCCGAAAAACGATTGGTAGAATCAAGAAAACGATGAAGAGAAAGTGATAAAATCACTGATAGCTTCTTTCTCTTTTTCTCTTTTCGTTTTTCTTTCTCTTCTTCTAATTATCCGAGACGCAGACATTCTCTTCCTGCACAAAAAATTTTGGAATCTTCCTCTTTTCTCATTTTTCTGTTCTTTTCTTCTATGATTTGTTGTTTCTATTCGCTATGCCCATGATAATCTGTGCTCGGTTAGTTAAATCTAGTATAGTAGAAAATGATAACCTGAAGTTTAGAATTTTCAATTTTTGTAAATTTCAGTTCCTTCTCTCCGGCGGTCCAGTCTGCGCCAGCTGTCGAACGACGGACCCACACGAATCTATTCTCGCACGATCAATACGGTAAGTTTTTGCTTTTGCATTCGACATTCTAGTAGTGTTCCTGGAAAACCCAAAAACAAGATTCTATCCACCAATCATTAACTAATACCTCCATCGTGTACCACTCGAACAGAAATCTCGGCAACTTTCAATTTTGAATCAATTTATCTCATTCCCTGTAAAAGATATCAAAAAATAGTTAACGGATAAAATATTTCTGAATTTACGATAAACATTTTATCAGTTGACCACTTTTTGATATCTTTCACAGGAATCGAGAAAAAGTGGCTCAAAGTTAAAAGTTAGAGGTCCTTCTATCACAAGTTTTACGGTAGATTCTTCGTTAATGCAATAACTATACATTTATATAATTTCAGAAACTGATATATCTGAAACCCAATCGGATTTCGTATCATCGAGAAGAAAAAATCGTATATTCTCGGACGAAGACGATCAAGACTCGAATCTTGGAAGTGGCCAATACCTGGCAGCTCCTCTGAACGACGCTCGTCGCTCGGCGTCTCCATCTTTGTACGTACCTCCAGAACATCTCCGAGGATATCAAAGTAGTAAATCAATGATGAATTTACGGTAAGCAAGTTTTTTTTGTCTGAATAACGCATTTCTCTTTACCTGAATCATTTTCTAGGGACGTAACGGGCGGTGGTGTCCGAGTACAGACTGCCAAAGAACTCATGATGTCGCACATTGCATCACAACGTAATTCGCAGTCTGGTGAGTTTTATTATCATTCGCAGCTGCTTTTATGATCGTTTTCCTATTTCTTTTCCAGGATCCTCTTCCCACTTGTCATCAGCGAACACATCTGGACGAATGAAGTGGGGAGATATGCCGCAGTCATCCAACAATAACGGTCAGACATTTTCATATGCTTTTGACTCTGAATAATATTTTTGTGATGCTTCTTTTTTGAAAATACGGAGGAGAGTTGCTAGGTGCTTCGTTCTTTATTGGCTCAAGAGGAGAATATGTTTCGAAACAGTGAAGACCCAAAGATTTTTGGAGAGCTAGTTGTTAAAATTGATTTTGTAGTTAGAATTCATACATGTGACGGGTCGGAACGTTATTCTTGAGATAGTCTTTTCGACATACAGTACCGCCCTTTAAAATATACAAGAATGGAGTTTTCAGTTTATTTTTGAACATTTTGACCATTTTGTCAAGTTTCCGATTACTTTGAAAATTGAAGAAGGTATACAACAGACCTAGATTAAAAATTTTGCATTCACAGAATTTTTAAAAAATTCGTAATTTTTCAGCTATTTGCCGATTTCTGAAAGAACCTTTTTTCACATTTTCAGTACAAAAACTGGTCAAAATGGGACATCTTTCAGAAATCGGCAATCATCTGGAAACTAGAAATTTTCAAAATATTTTTTGAATGCAAAGTTTTCAATCTAGGTCTGTTTTACATCCTCCGAAATTCGCAAAATGATCGGAAACTTGACGGCCGAGCTGCAGACTTCAGAAAAATGGTCAAAATGGCAAAAAAACTACCTGAAATCTATGTTTTTGTACATCTTAATGATTGGTACTGTATGTATTGCCGAGTACTTTTCTGTGACTAGTCAGATTGGCTCTATTCAATTCCGTTCCTATCTTTATGAAATTTTATGGCAACACAACCCCAACCACCCTCATCCGGTGGCCACAGCTTTCGAACCCTCACAAAAAGTGGTCCGTTGAGTCATTCTCCAATTAGTCAGATTGAATAGAGCGCAATTTCTTATTTCTATCTCTTCCCCTCCTCCCAAGACAAACATTTTGACCCTTTTCCGTCCTCCTCCCCACAACCTTCCGATTTCTCATGTCACAAACAACAATAGCAGGTGTTCCCCGCAGTGGGAAGGAGCACATGGAATGCACATATAATATTGATTTCTCCTTTTCAATTTCCCCCTTCTTGAGCCAGTACAGTCATTTCCTTTTCCCCCTTTTTCGGAAAAGACAGGGGTCACCAATTCAAAAGTGTGTGTCCTTTTCAATCAGCCGCCTTCTTTCTGCGCCTCTCTATTTCGCGTACTATTTCCGAAGGTGTCCGATTTCGGAAATGAAGGCAAATCGAATGCTTCCTCCATCCATCCTTCGTCTTCTTCTTATTCTTGGCCTTCGTGTGTGTTTCTTTCTCTTTCCTTATACAAACTTTTCTCACCTCTCCAAATTCTTGATGTATTCCATTTTTCTGCGCTTCCTCCTCCCAATTCTTTTTTCTCACATTTCGCGCATCCATCAAACATCCCAACCCTGCCCTTCTTCAGTTTCACATGAATAACGAATTAATTGTGTTGCTTTTTTTCAGACTGGCATCCATCCTCAACTGTAGATATTCATCGCGTTTCACCAGTCATGGCCACTTCAATGGCTCCGCCCCATCACCAGCAACAATATGGAGGATATCCTAGAGATCATGGTGAATTTTTTTTTCTCTCATCTCTGGCTAGTTTTAAAAAAATTACCATCACCTGCCAGCCAGGTGTCTTTAAGATATATCCTAACAAGAGAACCTTTTAAGTTGTGATTAGTCCACAGAATGAAAGAGCGTCTTTCAAACCACCTAAAACCATATTCAAAATCTTCTTAAGAAGTCTTTGAAGTACTGGAATTTCCGTTTCAGTACCAGAAAATCACGTTTTCTGTGTAAAATCGGCAATTTTCAAATGTGATTTTCTCCAATCCTATGAGGTTTTTAAACTTGAATCATTTTGGGTTATACTTGAAATTATATGGAATTTCATATTTCGAAATTTTTCTTGAAAAATTTTAAGTTCTGACAATGAAACCTACCATAAGTGGAGAAAACCACATTTGAAAAATGCCGATTTTACACTGAAAAAAAATTTCTTGGTGCTGAAACTGAAATTCCATCATTTTAGAGGTTTCTTGAGCAGCTTTTAAAAACGGTTTCAAAAGTTTTGAAATACGCTCTTTCATTCTGTATACTTGGTTTGGACAAATCAGCCGGACAACTTGAAAGGTTCCCTCGTAAGAAATAGATTACTTTCTCTCTAGTTTTTTTTCGAACTCATTTAAAAAACCATTTTTAGGACCCTCCTACCCAATGCCAGACTCCACCCATCCCCCACCATTGGCTCCTCGTACTACATCAAGAGTTTTAACAGCTGCTCCATCCCAACAAGCACTCCAACAAATCCAAGCAAGTTCTCCATTCCGACGAAAGTCAATGGATCGAAACAGTCTCTCGAAGAAGTTTTTGGAAAACGGAGGAACCCAACCGAAAACTGTGTGGAGCTCATCGGCCCTTGCCACTTCAGGAGCTCCACGACGAAGTAATTCGAATCTTTTCGCTGCTACGAATCTTGAAGTTCCGTCTACAACAACGAATCTGTCAAGACGACGTGAGTTATCTCTTTCCAAAAAAGCTATTAACGAATGGATTGTTATGAAAACAAAACATAAACGATAATCTCTCCGATTTCCCCCCAACTAATTGTCTAAGTCTCTCATGATCTATAGTACTCTCGTTCATTCCCGATATCTCTACGTCTCTTGATTCTCCTCTATATTTCTCTCATTCCATCCCGAACATCTCCCGTTTCAGACACAGATAAGCAACCACAGAAATTGCGTTTTACGACAACTGTTCAAACGCGCGAAATTTCTCTGGATAATGACGTCATCGATTCTGATGACGACGACGTTATCACTTCTACGACTTTCGAGCCGAAATCCAGGGTTAGAATCGGTTATCGTCGACCGAGTACTGTAACTGTAGACACACGTGATGCTGATGTGGCAAGAAGACGTGTGGCATCGAGGACTAGAAAAACTGAAAGAGGTGAAAATGGAAGCTCTTTTTGGGCCTATCACACATCTTCACGGCAAACACTTCTGCGTCCTTCCCTTTTTGTCGCATGGTTCTTCTTACTCCATCTTGTCTTCCCTGTTCTTCCCTGTGTTTTTTACCATTCTTGCTTCTAATCTCAATTTCTCCAAAATTCCCCAACCGGGAATTGAACCCGGGTCTCGCATGTGACGGATACTTACCACTATACTACCAAGGATTCAAAAAAGTATACATCCAACTCGCTTACATTGTCCCCTATTCATTTAATTTTGGGAACCACTTTTCCATACTTTAAAATACTCAGAACTTATATTCTAAACGGAATTTCTTTCAGCTGATGATCTCAACTTTGCATCTTCCCTCCGCAGTAGAAGCCAAAGCCCGAACAAGCTGGCTCTAAGTCAAATGATCAACTCTAGAGACACACCATCAAGTCCATCATCTACAGCTGGAAGTTCCATAGTTGGAAGAGGGCTCCAGGGACAACGACGTCGCGATTCAGATGTATCCTACGTCCGATCAGCTACACGTGGTAGAGATGAAATGAGAAAGAGCACGGATGCACTGAACAAACTTATGGCCGTCAGATCGAAGTTACACCAATCAAGTGAAAATCTGAGGAAGTCCACAGAGAACTTGGCACTTCTGAAAAATCTGGAAGAGGCTTCAAACTATTCGACGCCAAAGACAAGGACAAGAAGTAGCAGTAATTTGAGAAATAGAGAAATTCTTGGAAATATGGAATCGTTTGAAACATTTGATGCTGATTCAAGGATGAGGTCTGGGTGAGTATTTTGTTGATTTTGTATTTGGAAAAAAATGGGTGGAGTATTAGGACAATAAAAAAGACTGATAAGAAGAAAATGGCAAACTGATTTTGTATGTTCAATTCTCTTAACTGCCTTTTGTGCAACAATACATTTTTTACCAATATATATATTTCAGCTCCACAAGTTCTCTTGCTCAATCCAGAATGATGGCTCGTAGTATTGGAAATCTAAACGATGGACTTGCAATGGAGGGATCCAATGTAAATAGTCCGAGTCAGCGAATGGCCAATACTATCCAAATGATGAGAAAGGCTAGTAATCCAGATCTCACGGCTCCAGAACAATTCGAAGACACTGGAAGCCCATTCGCTCAACGAATGGCCCGTGGAGCTGTACAGAAGAAGATGGAGAGATATCGTGCCAAAAATAAGACTGGAAACGTTGTTGGAAGAAATCAAACATCCGAAGAAAGTGATTCGAACAACTCGGATATGATGCCTTTGAGTATCAATAAAAGAGCATTGACTGCAGGAAATCGATCTACAACTGGATCGGATTTCTCTCCTGCCTCATCACGCGGTTCTTCTTCTCTCGCAATGGGAAGCGGACGTAAGTTTTTAAAGAGACATAGATGACCTAATAAGATTTTCTCTTCAGCAATCGGCAGTGGTCTTCCATCGAGCCGTCGGCTATACGATCAACAGAGAAGTGGTCTATCCTCGTCTAGTACTCCAAGAAGAACTGGAAATAACTATTTGGTGGCCAAGATGAGTGAGCAAATGAACAAATCAATGGAGGGACCAGATCTCGGAAGTGATGAATCTCCACGTAGTTCTGTTAACTCGCACGAGTGGCAGAATCTCATGGAGAACTCTCAAGATGGAACTAAAAATCGTAAGTTACCTTCTGAATCGCTCTATTCGTTTGCTCTCACGCCAAACTCCTCTCGTCGTCTCGACTCTCTCCGATTCCTTTGTTCTCTCTACTTCCCCATTTTCAGCACTGATTTGTCACGTTCAAGACTGTATGGAGCAGCTGCGTATTCACGTTGACAAGAGTCTTCAGGCGAAGAAATTGGTGAGTGTTATCCCTTATCAATCCCTTGTGATAGTCTCTATAGCCCAGCTTACTACCTATAGTTGCTTCGATTGTGAATGTTCAATTTTTAGTTTTAGAGTATTCAGAATTGTTATAATTACCGTAAAACTTGGAATAGATAGGCGCCCAAACTGTCAAGTTTGAGCTAGTTTTTCTTGGCTCCTGACCAAGATATTAAAAAGTGGTCATCTGATAAAATGTTTGTGATATTATGAGAAACAATTTATCAGTTGACAACTTTTTAAAAATCTTTGACAGGAACCGAGATAAATTGGTCCAAAGTTGGGAGTACAGGTTTTACGGTATTAGATTTCCAGCAACGACAAAAACACAAAATATAAAATTCTGAATCGTTAATTTCAGGTGGAGGACGATACGACTTTGGCTATCGAACAGAAAAAGATAGTTATGTGTGAGATCGATCGATCCATCGAACGTATGATTGAAAAACTAGCGCCAAACCAAGTATCCAGGTATCCCCGAACAACCCAAGATTCCAAAATTTCCCAATTTTTCAGTATCAAATCAAATGACAGAAGCAACGGAAACAACATGTCAGTTGGTAATGATTATACTCCAAAAGGAGCCAATATCTACGGAATTCTGAAAGAGAATCTCTCATCCAGACAATAAATTGTGATGCCTCCTCCCCCGCCAATCATCTCTCTGTGATAATACTAGAATGTACTCAGCTTAAAAAAGATTAGTTTATCGTCTATTCTTGAACATGTCAAAACGAACGAACACATCGAAAAAGAAAAACACTCAACTTGATATCAAACAATTTGTATTAAAATGCCCTACCCATGTTTTTTATGTCCGGTTTATTTCCGCCTTACTAATATTTTTATCATGCTCATAATGTTGATTGCTCCCTTTTTGAGAAACCCTAAAATGCCTTTTTTCCCATCCTTTTTTCACTTTTATCATTCATGACGATGCCTTACTTTTGCTTGATAACTTGTAATTTTGTTTATTTTGAATAACGATTAAAAATCAATAAACATAAATAATTAGATACAAATAATTAGATCACATATTCTCAAACAAGCCCATTGTGATTTGTCTGTTGTAGTTTTTTTGAAGAATTTTTGTCTGGAAGACCACAGGAGACCATCTGGATGCCTCCATTTCGTTGATATGATCGTAGGTGTTGTTGATGATCAATTGATTAAATTGGTCTACATTCAATTCCCGCTTATAGTCTGAAATTTGAAATCCATTTGGTCGGTGAACATACCGTAAACATTCTAATAGTACTAATTCCAACTTTGAGCTAATTTATCTCGGTTCCTTTAACAGATATCGAAAAGTAATTAACTTGCAAAATAGTTTCGATATTATGATAAACATTTTGTCAGTTGATTACTTTTTTATATCTTTCACAGGAAATGAGATATGTGGGCTCAAAATTGACGGTTCGGCGAGCATTCTGTTAGTGCTTATTTTCTATTGAAATGTGCATTTTGAATTAAAAAGTAAGTTCAACAAATCTGAATGTCTGATTAGAATAACATCAAAGTTAAATTTATTTTGAAAACCCTTATAGTCTCAAACCCCCTCTCTAGAATATTTAAAGAGGGACTCCGACCAAAATATTTTTCTGTAATTTTTTTTGCATTAAAATGTTCCCAAAAGTATGTATTTTCATACTTCGAATTAATATTATTTAAATACATAACATTGGGAATATTTTAAGGCAAAAAACTATAAAAAATTTGGTTGGATTCCCTCTTTAATGTGCATGCCAGAGCAGGAACACTTTTCTTTGAAAGTTTCCCTACAATACAAATTTCCCTTAGCCCCATCTGAATTCGAAAAGAAAAATCTCGAAATTGCCCTCCTCCATTTTTTAGTTTGTTCCCTCCTTTTCATAGGGATTTTTTGCCTATCTACTCCGGCGACAAATTGGTCTATGCGGATTGACGAAATTCATTTCAATCCATTTTTTTTTCTTCAGGAGAAATGGAGAAAAGAAGAATAAACGTCATCCTGACATCCGAATCCATCAATCCCAGGGACCCCCGCTTTCAATGGCTCAGAATAATATGGATGACTATACTTTGCAACAAAACATACAGAAATTATGGAATGCTGGCATCCCGATTGCTCGATTATTTGCTTCCCTTTCTGCTACATATTCCTTTAACTCATCCATATATCTCACAGAAATCGTCATAAGGATCCAACTGTTTTCGATAGGACGCAAATTGAGCTCCTGGAAATTAGAAGGTTTCTGTTTTGAGATTTTTTTTTGGCTGTCTTTTTCTTGGAATTTTTTCTAGAAAAAAAACAAGAAAATATCAAGTTCAAAGATCGTTTAATTTTATGATCAACAAGTGATTTCTATAGTTAAATACGGTCATAATCCGAATTCTTAGGCCTTTTTCTTTCATGGTTTATGAACAAGAAATGTCTTCTTTTGACTCACTCTCACAGCTTCCATACAATCATCCTTATCACCAAATCGAATAAAACAAACAGTTTTGGGTCTCTTTCCTTCATCATTAAGAAAATTGTATCGTGCCAAACCAAGAAGTGACGGATACCGAGTGTACAATTTCATGACTTCTAATTGAGCCAGATGCAGATTGTAAATTGTCAAATGAGCACAAACTTCATCTTTTTGTCTTGTGAAATTCATTGCGAGTTGATATTCGGGTTCCATTTCAGGAACCTTGAGCCCATTCAGTTTTCTCAGCGCGATTCGAGCATCCTCAAATGAAAAGTATTGAAAGAAGTAGTTGACATTTGTCTGAAATTCGAAGGAATTAAAAAAAAAGGATTTTCGATTGTATACCTTTCTGGCAGTCGTTGATTTTCTGTTTCTGATTGGATATGGGAACGTTGACTGAAAACGTTTAGTTGTTGAAACTGCTGTTTTATAATTTGGGTACCTGTATAAAATCATGAACGGGGGTGAAGTCGAAATTCTGGTCAACGTCTCCAATCATTAGAGTAGGTTCATTGCTTGGAGATCGTTCACTAGCTACAAGCATGGTGGAAAAATCAATCGGAAAGAAAATTTACGGACAAGGATCAAAAAGGGATATCCGGTTAGGTTAGCTGGAACACGTGGTGGCTGACGTTTCGAAGGAGGTCGAGAAAGCACAAGGTCACGAGAATTATATTTTTAGAAATATGAAAGAATTAATTGGTAAAAATAGAAATCTAGTTAATAAGGTGTCACATTATCGTTTTTTGTATCATATTGTTTTACACTTTAAACGGCACGCCTACCGTATTCCCTCTATTAGAAGCCCACCCAACCGTAAACTTGAGCTCAATTATATCGGTATTTTCAAAGTATATCAAGAATGTGTCAACTGATAAAATATTGGTGATATTATGATAAAAAATGTATCAGTTGACAACAATTTTATATCATTCCCAGGAATCGAGATAATTGAGCTCAAAGCTGACGGCTTCTATAAGAGAAAATACAGTATTTTGTTAACTTCCCTCTTATTATCCCAATTTCCAAATGTGTCTTCATTTTCTCAAAGTCCAGATGAAAAATGACACATGTTTTCCTATCAAAAGTTGATTCAAGACGAAAATTCTTACATTTCATGACCCTTATTTTGGTCTATGTATTATCGCGTGCCTCAAAGCACTCCACCAATTTTTGCATGCTCTCCAGTCTGTCTCCAGTTTCCACAGAAGAAGATTCCTTTCTATTTTCCTTTCCAACAACACTTTTCTGTGATTCTCGTCTTCACGACTTCTTGTCAATTGCAATATTTTCCCCTTCTATTCTTCTCATTTTTCCACCGTAACCATAGAATGACGACTAAAACGTAGTGAAAGAGGCAAAAGTTTAACTCGATTTCGCTTTCTTTCTTCTTCAGACCCACGACTCGTTCATAATTGAGTTTTAAAAACCGAAGCAAGAGTTATTCCCTCCCTCAATAACATTCTTCCTATTATGATTAGAACTAATTAGTACTTTTTTAGAAATAGAGGGGATCACCATGTATATTTTTACTTTTTCTTCGTTGGATTTCAGAACTTCCAAGAAAGCAGCATGATTCTTTTATGTTTTGCCAGATCTGTGCAGAGATTTAGAAAAAAGATTTTGATGAAACGTAACCTAATTAAAGCATAACTAAAACAGGGTCAGCTCAAGCAGGCAATTTTTTTTGAATCTGAACTCGGTGGTACTGGACTGTGACATAAAACACCTTATAAAAAATTCTGGGAAAGCCATGACTAAACATCTAGGAACAAAGAGAAGAGTTATTTCTGAAAAATGTGTCACCAGGCTACGACGATGGGTGTGACTATTCAAACATTGGCTTTGTTTCCAAAAGTTTTCTTTGAAAATTCAAGAATTCCAAGAGAGTATGATCTGAGTAGAACACCATTTTGCGCCATTACGCCGCGTCCGAAGCTCCCGAACCTGAAATTTGCGGGTCCAGGAAGCAGTCCGAAGTGACGCCCAGATTTCCAAGATTTCCAATTCGTATAGTCAAAACCAGTGCGACCGTGCCACTCTTAAAGCGCTGAGACCCGCAACAAATTATAACCGGATTTTTGAAAAAAAAAAAACGAATTTTAAAAGTAATTTTTTAAGCTGCTGAATATTGTATGAGTTTTTTCAGGTCTCAACACGCTTGGGGTGTATGGTCGCACTGGTTTGAACTGTGCGAATTGGAAATCTTGTGAATCTGAATCTCGCTTTGAACTGCTATCTGAGCCCAGAAATCTCAGATTTGGGAACTTTGAAGGCATCATAACATAATCTACTTCTTTTCAAATATCGTTGGATTCTTGTATTATGGTAGTTTCTTTGCGTACTTTTCGTGGGTGGCTCTTCTCAACCTAAAAACAAGACTTTTTCTTGGTCTATTGCACAACAACTAAGCAGGTGTCTCTTCTTGAACCTCTTTTTGTTCTAAAAGAACTTCAAACTTTTCCCTGCAAGATCTCTGACCATTTCCCGTTGTATTTCCCCCATAGAAATCCTGCTCAATCGAGCGGAACCTTCTCTTCCTTCTCCCATCATCACCATCCCATCATCACATCATCCTTCATCTGTTGATAATTTTCACGATAAGTGTGCCTGCGTCTCTCATGCTCCACACACTCTCTTCTCATATAATAATGCTCGAATTCGTCTTGAAATTGTCCTTGAAGAAGGCACCCCTTTTTTCGTATACAAACACTCTCACACAACAGAAAAAAATGCGATCGTCGTCATTTTTCTTGTGCGCGTCCCTCAATTTTTTTGGTTGGTTCCAAATCGAAATGTATGTGAGTGTGTGTGCTCGTCATCCGTGACTCCACAACACATTCATATAAATGTGTTCTCGAAATTCGATTTCGTTTATAGAAGGTGGGCAGAGATCCACCGAACCCTATAAAAACCTATGGTTATAATAATAGGAGGTTTCGTAGGTTCCTGGATTATGAGAACCAGGAAGAAAAACCACCTCGGTTTGTTCGATTCGGATTTTTTTGAAATCATCTAAATAATGGACAGTCCATTAATCTTATTGTTCCTTCTTCTAGGAAATCTTTCTAGCATCTTAAGAGAATTTTAATCGCAGATTTTGTTATGAAAATTAGAAAACAACTGCGTTGTTGGATTTCCTATAACTTTCCAGAGAATACCAGAAAACTCGATTGATCCATACTCGATAAAATCAATTTATTGGCATAGCTGGTAAAATAAATCAATGGAAGTTCTTATAAAAAAGAACAGACAGGTGAAGTAGAACGTAACAGTCAAATACCCATTTATCTCGGTTCCTGTGGAAGATAGCAGATAGTGGTTGACTGATGCAACATTTTTGATAATATGATAACCATTTTGTCAGATGACTACTTATTGATATCTTCCACAGGAGCCACGATACATTTTCTTGAAGAATATAGTTTTTAGACCCACTAAACTCAAAAACTGGTGTTATTGAGTTTTCTTCGTCCAAAGATAAAATTTTCTTCCTTCTGAACCTCGAATTTCCATATTCCTCTTATTTTTCCCCCTACCAAAACAATCTCCCCAATCCCCCTTCTCGCCTTTTTTTTCGACACAAATTGCACATTCTCCTCATATATCCCAAATTTCTGAGAAACTCGTCTTTCTCATTCCACCCCCAGAAAACTGACAGGTTTCGTTCCCCGCCATCCTACGGACATTTACTAAAAATGTTGTTTTTTTCTGACGAAGAGAGGATCCAATACTGCATAATTAATCGGACACTAATCCATCCTATCACTTGCGTCTTTCCGAAAACTCTTCTCCATCCGGCTTCATCTTTCTCGAATAATCTTATCACTTGATAATACCATTTAGTGAGCTTGAATAGGAGGATAACAAGTGGATATGAATGACAACGAATAAGAAGATAACAAGATTTGGCATGAAAAAAGGCTTTAACTTATGATATCATGGATTGTCTGAAAATTACGAACTCTTTTTCCAATTAGTCAGTTGAAATGATATCTCTCAAGGATAAGGGGATCGCTATGACGTGGCAGCATTATGATGACTAGACTGATGACTTCTGAAGGCAACTGCAAAAGAATAAAAAATATGAATTCTAATTTTATGTTGGCTGAGCCATACCTGTAAAATTCTGGGACGGGCTGCGCCGGGTTAGGGCCGGGTCGAAAAAATGCTTCCGGCCCGCTCGGCTTGGGTAGCTGACTTTCTGAGAATTTTAAATTTCAAAATTCGAAAGTTTCCGGATCTGACCCGGGACCGGCGACAAGTATGGGCTTAGTAAGCATATATTCTAGATAAACTGCGACCGGTAAAACCACCCCAACCTGAACCATATACTTTAAATCAGCTTGAACTTCTTCTTCCTTCAATTTTCCATTTCTCTTCGATCTTGGAACTTCGACCTCTACATCAGCACGCTTTTTGCCCACGGTGTGATTTTTTCTGATGTGTTTTCCAGTCACATCAGATACATTTCCGTTAAAATCGCCAGAAGTAAAAACTTTTGGTACACATTATTCACATTTCCTCTCAATTTCTAAATTCCAATGCCACCCAAAAAACTGATCTATAACATCTTGACCACGAAATATACTTCCTGCAAACGTCTTGCTCTCCCCGTTACTAATCGTTTTCTATCCCTAATTGGTTCTTATATCTTCTTCTTCCTCTTCTCCATTTTTTCCCTTCAAACATCCCATCCGTATTCAATTTCCGGACCTACTCTTCTTAGATCTCTCTGCCAAAGTTCATCCTTGCTTTTTACTCCTACAAAAAATCTCAATCTTCTTCTTATTTCTTTTCTGCCCACCTAATTTATTCATGTGATTCTGGCGGACGGATGATGGCACCGACGTTTAGAATAAAAAAGGAAGAAAAAGGAAACGTGGAAGAAGAAAATAGAACTTGTGTTCGAAAAACATTTGGGGGTCCTCCTTGAAATGGAAGATGTAGAAAAAAATGGTTTCGATATTAACCTCGTTAACCTCCTATTCATACACTGGAACTGATGATCTGGAAGAATGGATTCTGATAATGTCAAAGAATGGAATGAATACCTATTGTATTAAAAGTGGAACCGCTGTAAGCTTCAATGATCACAAATAAAAAAAACCATACTCGTTCGGCCACCTCACAGCTTGCTCTACCGTAGATCAGCTAGTATCGGCGCGGCACTTCCAGAAGTGGGTTCAACTCCTCGAGAGTCTTATATGAAGGGAATTTTTGAATCATCCTGGCAGGTTTCAGAAGAATCCTAGTAATTTATGTTACAGAACCCTGGAGACTCATCGATCCGTTCTAATCTCCTCTTATCCCATTCGTCATCAGCTATCATCCACCAGCAAACTAACCTGATATTTCGATGCTCACGGAATTTCAAACTTTCAACGCTTTACATAAAAATATCAACTTGTGAGCTCATCTGAAAATAGATATAATCCTGATAAAGTGACCGATGATTAGAAACTAATCATTTTCCTCTATTTCCATATTTAGCCTCTGATGCATTTTCCCGAGTTCCGTTTCTTCCGATCCTTTGAGCTCAAT